CAGGCGGATCTCTGTGGGTTTGAGACCAGCCTGGTACAAGAGCTAGTTGCAGGACAGCCTCCAAAGTCACAGAGAAACAAACCCTTTCTCCAAAAACAGACCAGCCTGGTACAAGAGCTAGTTCCAGGACAGCGTTCAAAGTCACAGAGAAACAAACCGTTTCTCCCAAAACCAAAACCAAACCAAACCAAAACAACAAAAAAAAACCCAACAACTTTTCTTTCCGCTTAATAAAGGAGCTCTGTGAAAACAGGTGCTTGAGTGTGGTTTGTGTCTGACCAGGGGTCCCAGAGGGAGCCCCTGCTGTGGGAGGGTGGGTATACACAAAACTGCCAAAGTCCCCGAACTATATATAATGCCCTCTTCTGTCGTGACAGCCTTTCTATGGTTTGGGAGAAACAGAGCAGTATGTCATCCCCTGGATCACGTTCTTCTAACCCCTCTAACTCTTTTTCATCTGTGTTATTCCTTGAGTTATGTCTTCTAGGCTGGATGTAGCCATTAAAGTACCACATGGCAAGCATCAGTCAGTCTGGGGGTCGGAAAAACCCTGCAGTTTCCAAACGTGTTTTCTCAACTTTGGATCTGACTTTGGGAAAGAATGATATTTTTGAAGGTCCACAAAGGAAAACAGATAATTAACTAAGAAAATAGTGATGTCGGTGAAGGAAAATGCCAAGCCATTGTTTTCCCAGCTTCACCAGAGTTCTGGAGTAACAAGTGTGCTGCAGACTCTTGGGAGACATCGACTCTCTCTTAATGTTCAGTTTGCTTGTTTCCTTTCTTCGTTTTTCATTTCTTTTTAAAGATTTTATTTATTATGTATACAATGTTCTGCCTGCATCAGACCTCGTTATAGATGGTTGTGAGCCACCATGTGGTTGCTGGGAGTTGAACTCAGAACCTCTGAAAGAGCAGTCAGTGCTCTTCACCTCTGAGCCATCTCTCCAGCCCATGAGCCATCTCTCCAGCTCCGTTTTTTCATTTTTGTTTGCTTTTTTGAGACAGGGTTTCTTTGTGGTTTTTTGTTTGTTTGTTTGTTTTTGAGACAGGGTTTCCCTGGCTGTCCTGGAACTCTCTTTGTAGACCAGACTGGCCTCAAACTCACAGAAACCCACCTGTTTCTGCTGGGATTAAAGTGTGGGACACTATTACCCAGTTTGATCCTTTTTTCCCTCCCTGAGACAGGGTTTCTCTGTAGCTTTGGAGGCTGTCCTGGAACTAGCTCTTGTACAAGGCTGGTCTCAAACTCACAGAGATCCGCCTGCCTCTGCCCCCCGGGTGCTGGGATTAAAGGCGTGTGCCAACAATGCCTGGCACAGCTCCATTCTTAACCTTTATTTTATTTGTGTTTGCACATGGGAAGAGTTCAGAGAACAACTTTTGGATGTCAGTTTTCTCCTTCAAGGTCACACACGCACGCACGCACGCACGCACGCACACCAAGTATTGGATCTCCTGGAGTTACAGGCAGGAGTAAGCTGCCTGAATAACACTTATATTCTAAACTGTTGAGACATCTCTGTAGTCCTAAAAAGTTAATATTTTTAGCTGGGTGGAAGTGGTGCATGCCTTTAATACAGCACTTAGGAGGCAGAAGCAGGTGGATCTCTGTGATTTCGAGGCCAGCCTGGTCTACAGAGTGAGTTCCAGGACAACCAGGGATACACAGAGAACAAAACAATAGTAACAATATTTTTACATTGAAACATAGGAGTGTGTATACCACCATGAGAGGAATGGGGGCACTCAGAAAAGTGCCTTCAGAGAGGTCCCCCAAAGGAAACATCTGACTGTTTTAAGTTTTGGGGAGACTGGTAGGAGGTTTTTCACCATGCAGTTCAGTTCAAAATAATAAAAAACATAGAGGAAGTAGGTGTTGGTGGTGCACACCTTTAATCCTAGCACTCCTGAGGCAGAGGCAGGTGGATCTCTGTGAATTCGAGGCCAGCCTGGTCTACAGAGCAAGTACCAGGGGTAGGCTTCAAAGCTACACAGATAAACCCTGTCTCAAAACCAAAACATA